GTCTTCTCTATTTAAATCCAATGATTACTAAAGGGCAATATACTATACAGACTTCATAATCTGCACTCTTGGTTGAATGCAGTATTTATTTCCACTTTGGCTTTATGTTGTTTCATTTTTATTTAAGTACATTTATTGTTAATGGCGACTGAGAATGTATTTTATTTTTGGTTTTGATTGTTTTATTTATTTTGTGCATCAGTCCCAGTGTTAAGTGTCTTTTGAAAGTAAAGTGCATCTATCTTTGGCAGGAAATCGCATGTATTATTACGTAATTTCCATTAAATCAGTGTAAAAAGGTCTTCAAACAATATAAACCTTTATCGCAATGATTTTTTGAGACAATTAATCGCCCAGCAAAATCTGTCATTGTGACAGGCCTCCACGATGCATAATAAATGCTTTATTATGCATTTTATGGCTGGTGCAATTTGTACTCCGGAGCGACTTATAGTCTGGAAAATACGGTATTTAAAAATAAAATCTCATAACTTTCCATCATTGTGTAACCCTTTAATCCAATATCCTGCGTAAAAATAATATTGGGTTAAATCAACATTGTTTTCCAATACTGTATTTTCAAACCAATTTCGGGTGGAGAACAAAAAGCTCTCCTTCAAAGTATTACACCACATAACACTGATAACAGTTACAATGGATGAAATGAGGATTTTCAATAGAAACTCATACCATTATGAGTTGTTTCTTTTTTGTTTGTTTGTTTTTATATATATTTGTATGTGTGTGTGCCTCTTTGTGGACAATAGAGACAAGGAAGATGAAGAACCAACATATGAGATGGGAAATTACAGTCGGAAAGGCTTTAGATTTTTTTCCAGCAAACAGAGGGGAGAAAACAAAGGTTGTGTCCATGTGATTTTCTGTTGCTGTAGCAAAAATAATGGTTGTAATTAAATGTACCGATGGTTAAGAATGGCAAGGGGAAAAGAATAAAAAGAGTCTTTAGAAAATTTAACCATGAAAACAACCAAGAAAAAAGAGTAGTCCTGGAAGTAACACAACAATGGATAGCATGAATTACTACGTCATAAATAATTACAGTACTTCATGGAGTGGTGCTGCCACCTTGATAAGGTCATAATGACAAGAATACATTCAACCTAAGGAGTGGGTTTTAAAAGCCAAAAAAAAAAAAAGAAAGAAAGATTGCCAATGAGGAGGGCAGCTGGTTTTCTAATAACAAAACTCATAATTTCTCCAGGGAGAAGAAAATTTACAGGCATGTTTACACTCATCTGAATGAATTATCATCTGGCCCTTTCAGGGGTCCAAAGAATTTAATAATCAACATTAAATCAGTATTTTGTTGATCAGAGAAAAATGTTTTTTTTTTTGCATAGCAAATAAAATCCTAAGTCAATCTTGTCTTCAAATCAAGGCGTTGGCTTATATGTCCTACACAAAAAAGCAAAGGATTATCTTTAAAACTTCAAACTTTTCTCGCTGACTATTTAGCAGTTAGGTATAGCTGAAATAAGATGCAGAGATGCTGTGTTTAATTTGCATTAGTGAAGGTTTTGATGGTTAAAAGTCTTTATAGGAAAAAGATAGTTGCTATTAAAGGGATTGCAATTCAGCTACTGAATCTCACAATCTTATATTCAATAAATACAATTTAGATGTAATCGTGTATGCATCTTCTCAGCATAAGTTAGGGCTTCAAGACTTATACTTAAATATTCAAATGCATGAATATACATAAAAAACAACAGGGTTCAAAGGCATTCCAGCTGAAAGAAGATTAGGATTGTCCAGATGCTTCTTGCACACTGGCCACAGAACTTTCACATCATCTGCAGTGATGCAGGTCTTTACTGAGAGAAAACTTATTTTTCGTGTGAAATAAATAAATAATTTTAAAAAGTACATCAGGTGTGTATCTAAAACTGTTACATTTATTGATGAAAGTGTTCAAGGTGGACTAGAAACTAATTTCAAGAGCTGATGTTTTGTAGATGCTGTGGAACCATTATTTTAAATTGAAAAATACTACACAAAAACTCCACAAATGAATGGAAAATCTCCAACATTTCAAACACTGGAAAACAAGCTGAACTGGCGGAAATCTGCAGACATGAACTGACGGAATAGACTCGATTTTTGATTAAAAATATATATATAATTTCCTCATGTTATAGCATAATCTCTGGAGGTCTTCATACACCACTGAATGCCAGAGAGGGACATGTGTAAATAAAAACATAATAAACTCCAATATGCTTGTGAAAACATATTTTTTTTTGTATTACATTTATGACCCTCACTTTAACAGCTTCGTCCATGCAATTGAGTTGCATGGACAATGGAGCTTCATTTGCTGAAGTCAGAAACTTTTGAAAAATTTACGATGCGAAGGTCCAACAAGAATGTCCAGTACTAAATAAAGTCTAAATTACAAAGCATTTTCTGTTTGCTATCTTCATGTCCTAATGTGGTGAAATGAGTGAACCCTTGATTAGACAGTGAATGCTTTAAGTTTCAAACTCTGTATCTATGGTTGCAGCTGACATTTTACGCTGGCTGTTGAGTTCCATGAAAATATTTGTCACATGGTTTTTACCCTAAATAGGCAGCTAATATTGGTAGCTTTATATAGATAAAATGTCATCAAACTGCTAATGTTATTTTTATTATTATTTTATTCTTTTGGTTGGTGAGCTTTCGGAAGTAATAAACCTTTTTATTTGAACTTGCTCTTTTCCATTTAGTAACCAACCCACTGCATCACTTATAAGATACCATACACATTGCCAGGATGATATTGGCAAGAACAGAAGTGTCTTTCAAATACATTTGTGCATTTTCAGCTAAAAAAACTCAAAGAACAGTTATACAAAAGAGCAGTACACACACAAAAAAGCAGATTATGTAATCAGTTGGGAAAGCGGCCTGCTTCTCAGGAAGACAAAGGGGAATAATTACAGACGCATTACTTTTTTGATTGAAACAACAGTTCTGACAATATTAAAAAGGGGTCAATAACTGTGATAAACTAACAGGTATTAGTCCTACTATTGTATATCCACATTGTGTTTGTTTTTTATGCACGTTGTGATCAGTACATAACATACTAGATGCCTGTTTGCTTTGCATAACAGGACCACTACCATGATTGTCAGTAACGTTTTGCATATAAATCATTACTTAATTTGGAGTCAGGTTTTCCAGCAGAGCAACTGTTCTTTGTGCATATATTTTTACTGGAAGTTTAGTAGAAAACACACAAGTTCTAATTATTTATTTTAGACATATGCTAAGTTTCATTCTCATGATTTTCTTTTTAAAAACAATTCCCTTGTCTAATAAAATACTTTGTTTGTGCATGACAACTGAAGTAATGACACAAACAAAAGAATTAGACGTATATTACTTATAATAAAAGTTTTGTGGGACATTTGAATTGAACTGATTTAAATTTATTTGGTAATAGCCCATATGAGTGTAGTATTCATACTTCATGACCACAGTAAAGACTTAAAGCTAAGATCTTATTTCAGTCGTTGTCCTCTAGATACCAACATACAATGCAAACATACAACAAATGGAAAACAAGCAATTTGGGATAAAAAGCAAGGACCCTACTGCTAAAGTTATGTACAAATTGGTAACCATGTCAAAAGTAGAAAGACTCAAAAAAAAAAAAAAACTTTATTATTTGTTTTAATTTAATACACTACGCAGCTGCAGTATAGAAGACACTGCTCTTAGACTTACATTTGTAAGGAACAATATCTTTTAAACTGCCTTTATTGGAAAAATGGCAAATATGACTTACAAATGAAAAATCATTCATCAAAGGCTACAGTAACACAGCAGGTCCTTATGCCCAATTAGGATTGCGCAATCAGACTTCTGTGTGATCCAAAATCTACCAGCATGTGTAAAAGAAGATGTCACACAGCAGTGAACTATTTACAGACGTAATAATGGTTGCTGTCATCTATGGGTCAATTTTAAAGTTATTCAGCAATGGGAGCTGACGGTGTTGTCATAAGAAAAAATCTGAGCAACATCTGAGATAGACTGCGGGTTTTTCTACTGTTAAACAATGCGATGTATTGTATGATCTAAGTGTAAACATAATGGAATTTTTACAAATTCCTTAAATTATTTTCCTAAATGATTTATTTTCTACTTAAGAATAAATTTGATACACGTTTTATGCTTTTTCTTTGTAATTGACAATTCCTCTATGAAATCAAAAAAACTTTGATCCATTGCAAATTTAGCAAAATCCAAATTCCCGTTTGTCCAGAAAAAACAGATTGAACAACTGATTAGGGAGCAAGAAAGGTTTAGGGGTACCAGTAAATGGCATCAAACTGCTGCCAGAATCCTGATTTAGCACCATTTAACATAGACTCCTATGGGACAACAGAGGGCTGGATGCCAAATGTAGAAGATGTGACTTGGTTACCAATGCGCTCTGGGCATAGTTCTGCCTGAAGATGCATATACTGCAAAGTGTTTGTATATAATTACTTCTGCTCTGTCCTCTGACAACTGTCCTCAAATGCTGTTGTCCTGAGTAATGTTTGTTGTTGCGGCACCAGACTGCTGCCAGGGGGATTTTCTACCGTGTTAGGAACAACATTGTGGAGTTGTGATGCTCTAAGTAAAGAGTCGGTTATTACACCATCCCATCTTGACAAGCCAACTCCTCAGGGAGGGCAGAAGACAGGGGAGGCAAAAGGGAGAGTTTTTATTCTCCCTTTTCTTACCTTTGCATAAGGTAAGAAAAGTGAGAAAAGAGAAACATGAGCAGGAATTTAAAAACATGTCAGAAGGTCTTAGGGTTTAAGCTAAATTTGCTTCTTGCTGGGAGCTGCACATTTGGTGGACGGGGGCAAGATGCAACAAAGTATTACAAATAAGAGTAACTGTGTAATCTCCAGTAATCAGGAACACACAAACATTACTGCATTCTTGGATGTATTCTTCCTGCACAGTTTGTTCACACATGTCTGACAAAGACCAACCTTGCCAGCCAGGTTTGCAGACCGGCTTGATGTCAATGTGCACCAGGACACTTTGCAAAGCTCTCTTCTGGCCACAATCCCAAGCCGTCACCTGGATCTCGTAGTGTTGCTGTCGGTCAAAACTCAGCTTCTCTGTGTTTCGGATGTTTCCTAATGGGAAGAGAAGGTCAAAGCCAAGGTCAACCAAAAGAGCTTCTTAATAGGGCAAAAAATTATTGACATGAACAAATCATGAGGGAACTGTTTTAAGCAGGAAATATGGAAAATGATGCAGCAGTGGCTATGTCAGTCTAATGTATTTATGTCATTAAGAAACAAGAATGTGTTGTTGTGTTTTGTGTGTTTATTGAATAAGGATTCAGCTCAGTTTGTCAATGCACTCTCCTGTTTCATACAGTTGAAACTTCACAGAAAGATACACATTTTTTTCCTCAGTCTGAAACTAATCAGACCAATCTGCTGACTTAAAACAAGTTATCCTTGTCATTGAGATGTAAATGGACCTCGACCTGATGAGTTTGCTCGTCTGTGTCGGGTCATTTGTTTTTCTAGCTGCCGTTTAGTTTCTCCAAACTCCTTCCTTCCGTGAGAATCTTAAAACATTTTTTTGGTTGTTTCATATGACTAAACTTCACTCTATAAGGCATCAACCCATAGCTTTCCTGAAGTACGAAAAATGATTAAAATGCTTAAAAACAAACTTGCAGTTGTTCATTCAGGGTATGTATAAATAAATATAATTTATTTATATATGCCCTATATGTATACATATAGGGTATTTATACCCTATATGTACCCTATATATATATATATACCCTAGGGTATATATATATATATATATATATATATATATATATACACCCTAGGGTATATATATATATATATATATATATATATATATATACCCTAGGGTATATATATATATATATATATATATATATATATATATCCCTAGGGTATATATATATATATATATATATATATATATATATATATATACCCTAGGGTATATATATATATATATATATATATATATATATATATATAATATATATATATATATAAAAAAAATTCCCTTCTCACCCACCGCGGGTGGTTCTTATCCTCTGAGCTCGGGTCCTCTACCAGAGGCCTGGGAGCTTGAGGGTTCTGCGCAGTATCTTGGCTGCCAAGGACTGCACATTTTCTGGACTGAGATGTCTGATGTTGTTCCTGGGATCTGTTGTAGCCACTGCTCCAGTTTGGGGGTTACTGCCCCGAGGGCCCCGATGACCACAGGCACCACTGTGGTCTTCACTTTCCAGGCCCTCTCCAGTTCCTCCCTGAGGCCTGGTATTTCTCTAGTTTCTCGTGCTCCTTTTTCCTGATGTTGCAATCACTTGGTATTGCTACATCTACCACAACGGCTTTCCTCTGATGTTTGTCCACTACGACAATGTCTGGTTGGTTCGCCATTACCATTTTGTCTGTCTGGATCTGGAAGTCCCACAGGATCTTAGCTCTGGCGTTCTCCACCACCTTTGGGGGTGTTTCCCACTTTGATCTTGGGGTTTCCAGTCCATATTCTGCACAGATGTTTCTGTACACTATGCCTGCCACTTGGTTATGTCGCTCCATGTACGCTTTCCCTGCCAGTATCTTGCACCCTGCTGTGATGTGCTGGACTGTCTCAGGGGCCTCCTTGCACAACCTACACCTTGGGTCTTGTCTGGTGTGGTAGATCTGGGCCTCTATTGCTCTGGTGTTTAGGGCCTGTTCCTGGGCTGCCAGGATGAGGGCCTCTGTGCTGTCCTTGAGTCCAGCTTTTTCCAGCCATTGGTAGGATTTACTGATATCAGCCACTTGGGTTATTTGCTGGTGGTACATCCCATGTAGGGGTTTGTCCTCCCATGATGGTATCTGGCACCTCAACCTCCGTTCCCTGTTGTCTGAGACATTCACTGAGCACATTGTCTGTTGAGGCTTTGTCCCTGATGTTTTATGGATCTTAGTTGTTTCGTCCTGGACAGTGGTTCTCACACTCACTAGTCCTCTGCCTCCTTCCTTGCGGCTCGTGTACAGTCTCAGGGTGCTGGATTTGGGATGGAACCCTCCATGCATTGTTAGTAGATTCTGGTCTTAATATCTGTGGCTTTTATCTCCTCCTTTGGCCAGCTAATTATTCCAGCAGGGTATCTGATTACTGGCAAGGCATAGCTGTTTATCGCACGGATTTTGTTCTTGCCATTGAGCTGGCTTCTCAGGTCTTGCCTTATTCGTTGGAGGTATTTAGCTGTGGCTCCTTTCCTTGTGACCTCATCGAGGTTGCCATTTGCTTGTGGTATACCTAGGTACTTGTAACTGTCCTCTATGTCTGCTATTGTTCCTTCTGGGAGTGAGACCCCTTCGTGTGGATGGACCTTCCCTCCCCCTCTTTGTGACCACCGACCACATTTCTCTAGTCCGAATGACATCCCAATGTCAGTGCTGTAGATCCTGGTGGTGTGGATCAGTGAGTCGATGTCTCGCTCACACTTGGCGTACAGCTTGATGTCATCCATGTAGAGTAGGTGACTGATATTGGCCCCATTTTTGAGTCTGTATCCGTAGCCAGTCTTGTTGATAACTTGGCTGAGGGTTCAGGCCTATGCAGAACAGTAGCGGGGACAGAGCATCTCCTTGGTATATGCCACATTTGATGGACACTTGTGCAAGTGGTTTGCAGTTGGCTTCAAGGGTGGTTTTCCACAGCCTCATCGAGTTTGCAATGAAGGCTCTCAGAGTCCTGTTGATGTTATACATCTCTAAGCATTCAATGATCCAAGTATGCGGCATTGAGTCATAGGCTTTCTTGTAATCAATCCAAGCCATGCACAGGTTGGTGTGCCGGGTTTTGCAGTCTCGGGTAACTGTGCGGTCTACGAGGAGTTGGTTTGGCTCCTCTGCTATTTACACCGATACCCTTCTGTGCCGTGCTCATGTGTTTATCCATGTGTTTGCTTATCTTGGCCGCTATGATGCCTGACATGAGCTTCCAGGTTGTGGAGAGGCAGGTTATTGGTCGGTAGTTGGGTGGGACTGGACCCTTTGATGGATCCTTCTGGATTAGGATTGTCCGCCCTTCAGTTAACCATTCAGGGTGAGTCCCACTTTGTAGCAGCTGGTTCATTTGGGCTGCCATTCGCTCATGGAGAGCAGTGAGTTTCTTTAGCCAGTAGGCATGGATCATGTCAGGCCCTGGTGTTGTCCAGTTTTCATACCTGACTCTTTCTTGGACATCTGTCACAGTGATGGTTACCGGGGCTTGCTCAGGGAGGTTGCTGTGGTCCTCTCGTAGTAGAGAGATCAGCCACTGTGCATTGCTGTTGGGGACGCCTCCCTTTCCCATATGCCTTTCCATTGTTCCGTCTCCAGCCTTGTGGGTCTGCTCTGTTGTTATTGTTACCCTGCCATTGAGAGTACCTTAGCTGGTTGAGTGGAGAAGCCGGTTAATCCTTCTGGATTCATTCTCCCTTGTGTATCTCTTTAGGCGGCTGGACAAGGCTTGGAGCCTCTGTTTGGCAGTCTCGAGTGCTTCAGGTATGGGCATCTGCCTGTACTTCTGGGTACTGGTCTTTTCATTGCACCCTTGTGGAGCTCTGACAGTTGGCTCACTTCCCTCCTTGTTACCTTGATTTTAGCCTCTAACCGTCTTTTCCATGGTGGGTATTGGGTCTCATGGTTGCTCTTATAGCCAAGTATCTCAAGGATCACTGATGCTGAGTTTGTAGATCAGCTCATTGGTTTCTGTTATGGTGTTGGTAGGGATCGTTCTCAATGCTGCATTCACATTCTCAATGAGACTTTCAGATGGTACTTCACTCAGCCGTAATTGCTGTAATTGGCCGCCGCGGCCTGGTTGTCATTCGGGTCATGATTCTCTCTCTCAGGTCAGCAGCTGTCTCGTTCAGCTCTGTTTCGCTCATTGGGGCCGTGTATCCCCTCACTGGGTGGGGACTTGTAGTTAAGTCCCCACAGTCCTGACATCCGGGTTCCTCCCTTTTGCCGTAGCATTTGTGTTGTATCTCTCAATCTCAAGTTGTGATAGCAGTTGCCGTTTGCGGATGTTGGAACACTGAGCTACTAGTTGTTTAGCGCTTAGTGTTGACTGGGGATGTCGAAGTAACCATTCCTTCCCCAGTCTTTGCATGTAACCCCTCTGACTAGGGTTACTTGAGTAGTAGCATTCCAACAGATCCACATTTTCATCTCTCGCCCATTTCCGTCTTGTTCCAGTAGCCCATTTGTCATCAAGGTGCTCTGGTTCCCCAACACCTGACGCAGACCTTGTTTGGCCGGGCGACGTCTGAGCCGGCATGTTATGCAACTTAGTATCTCTCATGGTATGAGGTAGGCAGTAGCTTGAAGGGTCTTGCCTAAGGACCCAGACTGGATTCGAACCCTGCCCTCTCGGTGATATACTGATGCCTTATGTATTGAGCTATCCAGTCAGATATGCTGTTGATAAGGTTCAGAATCAGGATATATATATATATATATATATATATATATATATATATATATATATATATTCACATAAAACATTGACATATTTAAGTCCCATTTATATATATTAAGGCAAACTTTAAGCTTAATGTAAATACTTTATGTCTAAATCTTTCTTAATGGGACTGTTTTTGATCCTGATTCTGAAACCTTATCAACAGCATTCATATTACATTAGATTATGGTAATACTGTAAAACAGCAAGGGTTACTCTCCATTCTGTTTTGTATACAACAAAGTAGTCAATCTAAATAGTTGTTTGCCACCTATACCACTCTTTATGGATGTGCTCCTACTTTTTTTACAAAGACAGTGTGTGAGTGTTTGCTTCAAGGAGTAATGGTTATTTAATCTTACATCATCATTATGTATCATTGTCAAATTAACTTTAATGGCTTAACGTAATCACTGTAACAAATGAGATCACAGTGGAGATGACAGGTACCTTCTATCTCCTTAAGGGGTCTGATTAACTGTAATGCTTCCCAAAATTGGGTACATGTTTCCATTAAATACTTGCCGCCTCCTCGTGTAAAGACATTGCTGCTTGTTGGCCCCCTGTTCACCTCTCAGTGGTTACTTTTCCGAAAGCAGTAATTACTCATGCCCACAAGCATCAACATTAAATCTCTGATTTTATCAACATTCAGCAGAAGTGGGATTTCTGTTGTCCCGAAGATTTGTAAGCTCATTAAATTAAGCACAGCCATGACTCAGTGACTAATTCTGCTTAATTCAACATTTGCTACAGCACACCTCTGGGAGAATGGGTGGTTGTCTCGTATTTGAAAATGACATTTAGGAGTTATGTAGAGGTTCAACAAGAAATTGGGGCATGAGATAATTTGATAATATTTCTCTTCTAAGGGAAGTCTGTCTCGCAGCTGCTGACAGCATGACCTTGTCCATAAAAAATAGCTGTTAGGCAGTGATTCCTTTGGACCCACACTGGCGTCATGTCAGGAAAGTGTGGTGATGATGATGAAGTATTCTCTATATTTTCTACAAGAGTGGATTATGTGTATTCTTTCTGCAGCCAGAGATTGCTTCTTGAAGACTCCACTTATGCTTTGAGAAATAAAAGAAAGAAGAATTTTCAACGCTTTTTTGGGATCACCACTGTGATAGACTTAGACAAGTACAAAGACGTCAACTGTGGTTAAACATAAACTGATCACAGATTATTTTATGTACAAAATGTGATTTATAAAACATTTATTTGCAAAAGAATTATGATTTTAAGTTTTATTCTAAATATTGATAAAATCTCATCTTTTAGTTATAAACCCAGCTGATTATATCCTGTCATCTTGTGAGCTGGTTGTAGCTTTGGTAACATGTTTTATTATTTTTTTCCAATCCTTCCAGGTGTATTTATAAAACTTTAGCAACAAGCTTTGTTTTTGCTGTTTACATGGTGTTTAAATCACTTGAAATTGAATCTATTTCTAGATGTGCAACAAACTGCACAGCAAAAATCAATGTTGTTGAAAATTAAGTTGTGAGTCTTGATATTGCTCCAGCTCAAAGTGATCCACTTCATTAAAATTCTGAGCAATGTGCTACAATTAGACCTGCTGCATTCAGGCACATAAATCAATCCAAATTTGACATAATAGCCTGGCAGCTTTGCTTAAATTTATTTTATATATGCTGGCGGGTTAAAACTCACAAAAGTTAAGGTCTTTCTACATAGCTGTTCACTAAGGAAATTAGTTTAGTATTTTGTTGCCAAGCAAGAATATGTGTCATTTTAGTTTTTTGAATGAAACAGATTTTTTTACATCACTCTGTTTAAGTGCTGCTGACATAATAAAAACACTGCACATGGTCTTTAATTGCTATTTTTTTTTTTTTTTTGCATAGAACCAAATAAAGATATAATGAACACTTAAAAGAAATCCAAAAATCCATCTTTGTCAGAAACAGTGCTCCTCATATTTTCTCAGACCAAAGGAAATAAATACAGCTGCACACAGATGGAAATAATTCAAGTGGAGTTTGTAAGTGCTGCAATTTCAGCACTTACAAACCTGGCACAAAGCAATGTGTGTCCATGTTGGTTTTCTGAGAAAAAAAAAAAAAAATTCTACATATGTATTTAGAAGTGACTGTCTGCAAAACTCAAGAGAATCATTCGTACAAATTTCAGTTTGTTGTGATTCTATGCACTTTAATTATCCAAGTAAAAACTTTAGCTGACCAGAGTGCAAGAACAAAGCACTACAGTTCTAATTTGACTGCTGATAATAAAATACTCTTCCCATAAAGAGAGCGGGGAATTCTATTCAGTTATTTAGGAGAAAATATAGATTGAAAACAACAGCTAAGTAAAAGATTTCATACCATTCTCTTGAAGCTGCAGTAGGTTTCTTGAGTTAATATGAGGTTCTGTACTATGTACAAATCTAACCCCAACCCTGTATACAGTGACAGATTTACTATTTGGAAATGTTAGATCCCTTTATAATTGTGGTCCAGTTTTATAACAGAACTAGTCACATGGAAGTATTTAATCCACATTTTTCAATGTGCTCTGAATAGTCTTTACATTATTAGTTGATTTAGTTTATACTGCATATTGCATAAAAATAAAAAAAAGCTTACATTAAATATTCAGCACAAGCATGAGTCTGACAAGTTGTCATCATTCTAAATTTCTTAGCATGTCAAAACTGATAACTTCCTTTAAAAATGTAGATAGAAATAGAAAGTGATGAGATATTTGGCCATTTTTTTTCCTCCAGTAACTTCTGTCTCCAGTCGTAGTGTGTTTTCTTTTTAAGTCTTGAAGACTTTTAAGTTGCTAGCATAATAAATGTGTTTAAATACTTCATTTTTGTCGCATTTACTAAGGCATCATGCAATGCTGAATATATTTATTCTCATTTCTACTCACCATTTCGATCTATAGCAAAAGGCGTGTTAGTGGTGGTGATCTGGTAGTTGCAGATCTGACTGTACTGTGGCGAACAGTCCTGATCTGTGGCCTCCACTTGCAGGATACTGTCATAAATCTTTCCTTCTGTCACAGCAGCTCTGTACTGTGGCTCTCGAAACACAGGAGCAAACTCATTCACATCATTGACCTGGATGTGTACCACTGCCCTGCAGACAACACACAGACACAGGGGAGGGGAAAGTTCAAACTAAAGTATCATCTGCATAGAGTGTCATACAGGTTAAAACAGTTTTTATTCCAGCTTTTGGAAATAAAGGCATTCTCCTTGTTCAGTTTACATTTTAGCAAATAAGTTATTTCCCTTTCATAAAAAGAATTATAGCTTTTTCAGTTAAAGTGCAAGAAACAGATATTTGAGAACTAGTTAATATGATAGGATGAAGCAAACAGTAATGTTCCCTTCATCCTCAGTTAATTTCAAGTTTTACATTTCACTTAACCTCATCACTGCTCAGTCATCTCCATGTATAAATCTACAATGAGTTTAAACAAGAATATTGTAGATTGCTTCAGTACAATACTGAAGTATTAAAGTGAGATGTGATGCATGCATTATTTTTTCTTTATGTTATTAAGCTTTATTAATAAAGCTATTAATTATTTGAATTGCTTTAGCTACTGCTTGTCATGCCAGAGATGATGTTACAGAAAGCAAAACCAATAAATCATGAAAGTATCAAAAAGACGGAACCCTCTAGTACCTCACTGGTACTACATACAAAAATATTTGTATGTAGTCAGAATGCTTGAAAAATAATTGAGAAAAATGTTGCTGATCACAACAATCAGATGATAAGTGTAAAATATTTAAAATAAAAGGTTATACTGAAAGCTGTAAGCATCACTATGAGTTTGGTTTCAATGTAAAATTTTGACCAAATATAAAGCAGATATTCAAGATTTTGCTGTTTTACTTATTGACCTTTTGTTTTGTAATATTAAGGGAATATTGCATGGTTCTCAAGATGTTTTTCAAAATTCACTGTTGCTTATAAATAAATAAATTCAACTGTACTTTCAACATCAAATTACGGCAATATCAACCCATGATGCCATTTTCTTTCTTAGTAACTATCAGTCAAGAAAATAGTGTTTAATAAAGGTTTGTTTTCTCCCCCCTGCAACAGCAGATGAAAAAGACAAGATACTAAATAAGCAGAACATAAAATTATTTTATGTAACTGATAAAAACTCATGAGTTAGATTAAATTTTTCCATTTCATTTAACCTCTTCCCTGCTCAGTCATAGCTTTTACTCATTCTATAAAACAATATCTACACTAACAAACATGATATATTTGTATGTGTACCAAAGGTATAATAGCAGGTTAATTTGTATTAAATATTCATTTTTGATTTCCTTAATTAAATCAGACATGAACAAATTCGTTCCTTTTAAAAAACGAACTTGCAAAAATAGTCTTTTGTTTAAATAAATTGCAGGCAGAGATGACACAATCGAATACTCGAAAGCAAAAGTAGTGTGTTGCTTTAAGACAAAGGCATACAGATTAACATGAACCTTTGAGTATTAGCAGCTGAGCACTATAAAAGCATTTGACTAAAAGGATCTGTTTAAAACAATTCAGCTACAACTGTAGCAGACTGGAACACCAGGAGGATGGAGACATTTCCCTTCTGTCTTATCATCTTTGTCCAGCATACACAAACAAAGTCCAATTTTTAAGCCTCAATACAGACATAATTTAATATAAATCCACCCAACAAAGGCAAACCTGTACTATCAAGAAATAAATATGTCAGGAAAAGGCAGTGTTGCTCGAAACAAAAAGAATTTAGTCACATATTTAAAGCTGGATTCATTCTAACACGTTCAGTTAATTAATTTTTACTTATTACACATGCAGACACACGTTTGATCAGGGCATCAATGCTATCTCAGCTGAAACACATCACTGTCATTAACAGTTATGTTGTTTTACATTCATGCTTTCGTTGTTTCTTTCCACTTGCGGCTAGAAGACAAACATTAATAAATTACTTTTAAAAGCTGTCTAGCATTTTAATTACCAAATAAATTAAGTAATTAGGAAACAACAAATATAAATTTCAACTGGCAAATTACATAGTAATAATGAAAGTACTTTCATGCAAATTCATTGCCTTTGCATCGGGTTTCAATATCAACATAGCTACGTATTTTCCAAAGTTTTGTCAATTAAATTTTCTCAGATAAATATTCTGAATTTTTTTTTTTACTGTTAGGTAAAACGTTTTATGACATTTAGTTTAATTATTCCAAAAGCATGCTGTCAGCACCTATGATACCTATTAAATTGCATGAGCTTGCATCTATGTGGATTTTCAATCAAAAATTTAAAACTTTATCTCAATAAAGCACTGATAAAAACACAAAGTATTTACATTAAATAAAGATCTTTATCATAATCAACTTTGCATTAAAACTTTTCATAAGTGTTACAGGTTTCGAGTGTCAGGACTGCTATAACAGTGATGAGGACAATCTGAAGGATAACAAAATAGAAGCCCACAATGATGACTGAAGCGCCGCCTTTGGCATCCAGATTGCGTATTCTTTATTTGTTAACAAAACAACCCTTTTACAGTGTAAAGTATGACTGTTTTGCATAACCATTGTCTTATAAAATTGGTTGACTTCACACATTACCTTTTTCACATTTCCATCCTTCACTTAGATGAAGACAATCGAGGTGTAGTGTATCAAACCGGATAAATCAACTGTTTTAAAGCTCATTTGCCTTTAGCTGTATATCACCTGGCATAAGCATAAAAATGCGCACTGACTTTCACTGAATACCAATCAAAATTAGAATTACAAGACTTACAAAAAAAATATATATATATAACTTTGTTTCAATTTTAACCTGAATTCCCACACTTGATGAACAAAGAATAGTTTCTCTACCTTTTACTTCAGCTACTCTCATGCTCTGAGTTACTTTATGAGTAACTCAGAGCATGAGAGTTACTTTATGAGTCAACAAGCAATTAACACTAAATATTATTCAAACAAATGCTAAACAAAACTCCTAAAATAAAAGATTAGTATGACATCATGACCTTCTAATCACATCCCCCTGTGGGATTTTCTCATTACGGGTTTGCCAAATTTACCCTCGCCTGATAAAACTGGCAACTTTTGGCAAAACAGTGCACAGAAAACGTAACACAGTGCTACATACTGATCAAATAAGAAGTAGACATCTTACAGAGTGGTTTTGGTGTGATTTCACCGTATACTGACCTGAAAGATAGCAAAATAGAAGTCAGCAATGATGACCAAAGTGCTGCTGTCAGTATTTAGATTGCCTTTGAGACAAACCAGAACTCCGCCCCAAAACCAACCTGGAAGCAATGACCCCCAAACATAGGACTACTACTCCCATCCCAAACCCCAGGAAAGCACTATAAATGCAGGCAGACTGACATTCCGAAATGCAAACAAAATATAATTTGTTTACTTAGAAAAGTAGATCAAACTATACATGAAAATAGTTCAATATTATAAAACAACCAAAATAATGTGGTGGCATTTTTAGGTGCAAAACATAAACATGAAAATTGACAGTAAGTCAACGATTACAAAACATTACGGACCAGAACAGCAATCAAAACTAACCTGTTTTTGGGCTTGCTAAAACAAAAATGTACTTGTTTATAATTGCACTTCAAGTAGAAATAAATTATTTTACCACAACCTCTTCAAGTTCTGGAAGCTAGTACAGAATACACAAATGAATATGTGGGAGACAGTGATGAATCGCTGAGCTTTAGGAAAGGTGGGATGTTAATGGTGATGCTAACAGCAGCAGAAGATGGTAATAAGATGCTCTGACAGATGAGAGCAGTACCAGTGTGCACAGTAAATCCCTCAGCCAGCCTTGTTTTGTCATATTAATGCAGTTCTCACATAAACATTTCCCCCTAGCTTCACCTCTTTCCCCAAATAGTGAGTGAGAAAGCATATGCTCCCCTCCTCTGGGACTCACATTTGCGAGCGTCATTATGTATTCATGCACACAAATGAATAGAATATAACTAAATGCAGTAATTGTGAAGATGTCCCTCGCCCATGTGAGCGGGTGTTCTCTGCTGATGGCGCACATCTGGCTGGAATAGACACCTCGTACTCTGGGGTGACTAGATATTTGCGTGTACTGTGAGTGTATGAGTTTGTGTGTCTGTGGCTACATAGTCCTGAAAGCTTGCCAAGCTGGGCCCAAGGCCGCTGTCGCTCCCCATGACAAGTGTCAGTGTGCTGATAGGGGTTCACAACAAGTCAGAGAGACACAGAAAACAGCGAGGGCCTGCGTGACCCAAAGGGTGTCAGAATGATTACGACAACAAACTGGATAAAAAGGATAGGCAGAGAGATGATTAGTCAAATAGTGTCAAGTTCATCACATAGTTAATGATAAAGCAACATCAAGAGCCTTCTTTTTATTTAGTATCATTTATTAACAGGATGATCTCAGTAAAACTTAAATATTAGTTGGAAATGACATGTACTCTGTATGTATCAGGTACTGTGGTAAGCTTATATTATTTAGTCTGATCTGATCTGCCCTTAAAATGCTCCCTCAACACATTGATTTAGAAGACATGCAATATAGCCCCCTTGGTGTTTCACTAGTTGAAAGATAATGACACTAAAACATATTTATATTACCCGGGATGCATTATCAGTCAAGAACTGGAACATTAAACCCCAGTTTGGAATCAAGCTGTGTGCTACATCAATTTAAAGATAGTTTTCATGTAAAATGATCTTGCAGACTGTGGATGAAAGGCAAATTACTTTATTTTTTTTTTGTAAATGGAGTACCTGACTTGGTTTCAAACTCAAGTTCATGAGTAACTTCTAAGAAAAATTGTAGCAATCCCAGCCAGAGACTTCAATCTGCAATATATAATCACATACTTCATTCAGCATTAACATGAATTCAGTGGTTTAAGTCTGCACTAACCTTTCTGTGATCTTCAGTCATAGGTAAAAATTCTGAAACTGAAAAAAATGCATTTTTCACAAGCGCAAGTGTAATTTATTTTGACGATGGCAATCTGCAGTTGCTATGAAAACAGACTGAAATAACTGTATAAAAAGTTAATAAAATTAACTTAATCGCAAAAGTTTTGCTCTGCC